CTGTAAGGAGTCTTGGAGCTGCCTATGGGAAGAAACCTGGTGGGTGGCCTATTTTCTATCCTGTCTCCCTTTGCCCTCTCTCACTACTCATACAGAGAACTGGAGACCCACGTATTCATTTCACAAATACTTACAGAAAAGGCACTGTTCCTGGTACTGGGAATATGGGACAGATTTTTTTTTTTTTTAATCCATTCTTCCATAGAGTTCACATTCTGGTTAGGCAAGGTAAATGCACAGATAATTAACACACTAGGTCATATGATAGTGTTATGGAATGAAATAGCAGGGAAGGGGGGAAAGGAATATTGGGAGGTTAGATGGGGAGTAGGAGACACGCATTTCAGGGTCAGCCATGAAGGGCTCCACAGATCACCCTGAATGAGGGTTTGGGCTTTTACTCAGGGTGGGCTGGAGAGTTACTGAAAGAATTGGCAAAGGAATGGTCTAATTGGACTCAGGTTTCAGATGAGCAGTCTGGTGCTTAGAGTTCATGATCAAGAGTACATAGGGGTGCTGAGATGCTATTGTTGAGACTTGGAGCAAGAGCTGATGGTGGCTGAGTGGCAGTAGAAGGGTGGGAAGTGGTTAGTTTCTGAATCAGTTCTGAAAATAGAGTCAACACATTGGGTGTAGGGAATGAGAGGAGAGCTAAGAATGATTTGGGTTCTTGGCTTGAGTAACTGAGGGCCTGTCACTGAGGTGGGACTTGGTGGCGGAGAGGGTGTGGGGATCAAGAGCAGAGATGTTTGAGATGATTGTCAGTTATTCAGTGGGAAGTTTATGAACCTGGAGTGAAAAGGAGGGGTCTAGCTTTGAGTCCCAAGTGTTTAGCTGAAGAGAGTAGAAGGAGGGTCAGAGGAGTAAGCTCTTTATTTCAGAGTCAGGGAGCTAAGAATCTAGCCAAGGAGACGAGAAGGAATGGCCAGGGAGAGAGAAGAAAGAGCAGGAGAGTGGCATCAAAGCGCCAGGTGAGAAAAGGAACGCAGTCAGATGTGTCCATGATCCATTCTAGGTTAAGTTTACAGGAAAGTTGAGAATTAACCTTAGATTTAGCAGTCTCATGTGCAGTGGTGGGGACAAAGTCTAATTGAACCAGGGTTTAAGTGAGAATGGAGGGAGAAAAATTGGAGCAAATATCCAGAGAGAGGGCCTTGCCAGAATGCAGAAGCAAGTCAGGGTGGAGCCTGGACTAAACAGTCTGTGGGCACCACTCTTTAGTGTCTCAAGACCCACAAGGACTCCACATACTGATGTGTTATAAGAGGGAAGCCATGAGAAATGTCATTACTGTGGGCTGAGAGCTGGGATTGGGAACTGGTGTGAGTTGAAATCTCCAATGTGACGCCTTCTTCAGACAGTTTTTTCCTCTGGAGGCTCAAAAGGTTTCGTAATCAAGCTACTCTAGGAAATGAGACTCAGGAAACAACCTTTGAATTTGGTCTTCAGCTGTTCTCAGGTTTAACTTCTTAAGCTAGTCTAAGATATGTGTACTTGTTGAGATATCCTGTTCTTATACTGTCCCAGGGGACTTGTTCAATCAAGCAGAGGCGCCTTTATAAATGCTGGGAGAGCAGTGATTGTTTCTTCCCATTCTTAAACTTGGGCTTCATAGAAAGCAGGCTAACTAGAGTAGAATGAGTAGGCACTCATGCTCTCACCTGCTCACTGGTCATCAGGTCATCAGCTCCTGTTTCTCTTGGACCCCATCAGGGTTTCCCTGTGAGGGCTGACTCCACAGTGGACTCTACTACCTTCCCAGAGCTTAGAATGTCCCAGATTAGTGGGCGTACAGAGGCCTGCCTGCAAGGCAGAGGTGGTGAGGGCCTTGTGCCTTGTGCTCTGTACTCTTGTCAGGTTAGTACTTCAGCCCCAAAACTCCATGAGGGAAGTGGTTCTTCAGATGACATACTCTCAGCCTCTGGCACCCAGTCCATCCAGGCTTTGGAACTCCCAGGGCCTTTTCATCCAATCCGATGTCTGGTAAGCAAGACCCTTTTGGGTCCACTTGTGCTCTCAGCACAGCCTGGCTGCTGTGTGCTGTAGGTACTCAGACAGTTTTCTTTCCACCTGCAGATCTGCCCACTAGCCCTGTTGACCTGGTTATCAACTGCCTGGATTGCCCAGAGAATGCCTTCCTGCGGGATCAGCCCTGGTACAAAGCGGCCGTGGCCTGGGCCAACCAGAACCGGGCACCAGTACTCAGCATAGACCCTCCTGTGCATGAAGTCGAACAGGGCATCGATGCCAAATGGTCACTGGCACTGGGCCTGCCTCTTCCACTGGGGGAGCACGCAGGCCGTGTCTATTTGTGTGACATTGGCATTCCCCAGCAAGTCTTCCAGGAGGTGGGCATCAACTACCATTCACCCTTTGGCTGCAAGTTTGTCATCCCTCTACATTCTGCCTAGAGGGGCCCTGGGCAGACTGGACTCTGCAGTCCCTTGCTCCTGCCACCAACCAAACCTGACGATGAACGCCTTAAGGATGTGAAGCTTCATGGACCTTATTGTTAAGTTTTTCTTTGTTTCTTCTGTAAAAGAACAGAACATACTTAAACCTGACCTGTCACTTGCCCGTGGCTAGGGAAGGCTTTCCCACTGGGTGTGGGGCGGGGTCAGGCTGAGCACCTCGGCTCCAGGCATCTCTGCACCTAGCTGGCCCTGAGTGCCAGGTGGGGCTTTGTTTACAGAATAGGCAGCTCTGAGACTGTGTTTCAGGTTTACAGCCCTTGGGCCTGCATGAGCGCCTTGGGGGTTGGGCTAGGTTCTGGAGGGGGCCTGTACCTGCTTTATTTTATAGCTTATGGCATACTGTCTCCTCTGCTTCCTCCCACCAAGCAGCCCTTCTAATCATGTAGACCAGGCTGCATGCAGCTGACTGCCAGAGGGTAGGCCTGTGCCCTCCATCCGTTTTGAGGGCTGTGGCAGCTTAGGCCTTCCCTCTGCCCTACCAGATTTTGACCTTTCTCTTGAGCGGATCCACTGGGATTTTTCTTTGGGTCTTTCCACTCCATCATTTTGAGAGGCAGGTAAAGGGATGCATCTGGATGGTTGGGATTTTAAGCTGGTTTTCTGTTGTCTTCAGTACAAGGTCACATGTTACCATAGTGCCCATCTTGCCAGCAGTGCCCACCCCCTAGCTGAGGGTTGACTCCTCAGTGTGCAGCTTTAACGTCCAGGATTCGGAAGGCCCTGGGGGAGCCTGGTGCTGAGCCATAGGAGGTTCCTTGGTGCTTCAGTCCTAGGCCACCACTTGTTGCCTCCTTGCCTGTACTTCCATGTGCCCATTTCCTGAAATGGTCCTTTGCAGCTGTTGTCCCAGAGCAGGGTCTCTCTCCTGCCTGGGCTCTACCCTTGCTCTTACTACTGGGCTTTGAATCCTTTCAGGTCGTCTACTCTAGATACAGACTTGGGGCTAGTGGCCCATCTCAGATATTCAAATAAGGCTGTTTCTGTATGAGCTGGTGGTGGGGCGTGGTCATGGGAACACCTACTGCTCAGATCTTAAGAAACCAAGACACAGGACATGCCTGGTCCCTGGAGGCTGGCAGGACAAGATCCATATCTGGAGAGTTGGCCAGGTCCCTTACAAAAATCTTTAAAGCCTTTGGTTTTGTTCTGTATGCATCACTTGTTGAAGAGTGCATGGGCTGGCTTGCCAAGAATCGTGGACACAGGATAGGCCTTGGTGTTGTAGGTTTTCAGGCTGCTTATCGCTTTTCTTTCCAAATAGGGCAGAGGGCTGGTCCCTCCTTTCCTCTCATTATCCCTCCAGTGTTGTCTCCAGTGGTGTGAAGAGGCCAGGGACTGGGACCCTTGTGCTCTGTATCCTTCCTGAGCCCTCTGCTCAGTCTCAGGGACAAGCTCCCAAGATGAGACCCTCTTTCTGTAGAGGCAAGGCCAGTCTGGGGAGCAGTCTATATAACAGGCATTTTAGCAGTAGTTACAGGTTTTGGTTATCTGGAAATACAGGCCCCCTGACTGGGTGTAGTGGAGAATTAGCTAAATTCTGGTCCTAAAGACTGTTAATGCCAATAAGTTGTCTCTGGGGTGATGGCCTTGTTGAGGGGCCACTGGGAGTTTGTGCCCAAACCTCTCCCTGTTTCTGCAAGTGGCACTAGATCTTCTCCTTGCCCTCAGCCTGTACATCCCCATAGGTATTAAAGATGGATGCAATTCCTCTACCTTCAGCCCTCTTGGGAGGCATCCTGCCCAGTGGCCAGTCCCAAGAGCCTCAGTCAGGTGGTCAAGTCTATCACTCACGCAGCTTTTGGGAACCAAAAACCAGCACTACAATAAAGCTGAATGACCGAGTCCTGTGCTGTATGAACTGCTCTGCAAGCTGCCTTCCCCAATCTAGGAGCCCCCCTGGATCATCTTGTACCCTCAATAGACCAGTCTTTGGGTATGTATAGCTTTTCCCATCCAGTGTCAGGGCTTAGGGGTATAGGAGCCTTCTGGGTCTTATTGCCTGCCACCTCAATTCCCATCTTGGGCTAGAACTGCTCTGCTCCTGGGCCCAGCCTCTTGTCTAGTCTGTTCATTGGCTCACCCCTCTGTGCCTGGCCCAGTTCACACTTAGCTCTCCACAAGCTGAACTGCTAAGAAAGACTTTATTAATAAGGTCAGGGGAAGGGAGAAGACAAGGAGCCTGGAGATGGACACACTGGTACCAGGGATTACAAACAGTAAGAAACACTTTATTATAACTTTACAACATATAAATAGCTTGAGTCAAATCTGTGCTTTCTGGCAGCTGGGCACCAAGTCTCCTCCCCTGCAGGCTCCTGCCTTCCTTCACATTGCACTGTTCATCGAGTGGCTCTGGCCGAGGCCCGGTGGAAGAGGCTGGAGAAAAGGGGCTGGCAGCCCAGTCCCGTTCTCCGTCTCCTTGAGCATGGGCCTGCTCCTGTCATCTGCTGGGGTTGCGGCTGGTGTGGAAGGACCGCTCCTCAGGGGTTAGGCCAGCAAAGAAGGGATGCAACAGGGCCTCCGCCAGTGTGATGCGCTGGGCAGGATCAAATTCTAACATCCTCCTCATCAGGTCAAACAGCTGCACATGCTCCAGGGAATCTTGGAGCATATAACTCTGCTCAAGGACACAAGGTGCCTCAGTGTCACGGCAGGGTCCACAGCAGTCCCCTTGCCTCTGGGATGCCTCCTTGGAGGACTCTACTTCCGCCCTCTGGGACAGACAACAGCAGCTCCTTGCCTTTCATGCCCAAGTTCTAAGGTTTTGCTCAGAACTTAGGCTACTGGGTGTCTTGCTGGGTTGGTGCCTCTACCCCACATGCAAAGTCCTGAGAGGTGGGTAGAAATCACCTCTGCAAAATTCACTTGTCCAGGCACCAGATGCAGTTGACAGACTTCCTGGCCATGTTTACATCTTCCCTCCCCCTTGCCTCAGTCCTGCCTAGTTCTTCCCAAAATTGAGATGAGAGGGAGGGTCAGGAAGCAGCAGGGTCTCTGACATCTGGCTCTTCTGATGTTCCCCAATTATATTCATAGCCACCCTGTGGGGAAGGGGTAGGGCTAAGGGCCCCTCTGGGGCAGCTTGCAGGAAGCCTCACTGCCAACACCCAGCAGTCTTGGGTGCTGTCTCCCACAGAGCCGGAACGAGGAGGCAGCCTTTAGCTGCCCGTTCTGTCTCTGCTGTTTGTCTGGTGCCTGGGGTCTCCTTGGCATGAGTTGAGCTGGGGGAAGCCAGAAACTGACCTTCAAAGGTTTGCAGTTCTCCTTCACATACCGGCCATCAGAGCTGTTCTCATCCCAAACCAGGCCCCCTTTGTAGAAATATTTCTGCTTTCTAAAAATTAAGGGAGAGAATGTAATTAAGAGAGGGAATGTAAGAGTGGTGGGAGATGGGGAATGGCAGCTCCTGGCTGAACCCAAGAGAGAAGCAGTCTGGGTCAGCAGGGCAGGACCCAACAGTCCTGACCCAGCAGGGCAGGAAAGTCTGGGCTGCAGAGTGCCAATTCAGTTGGAGGGACACATGAGGAACACTGTTAGGAGCCTGGAGGGCCATGTAATGTCCAAAAAAGACTGTACATATCTGAAGTGCCCTGCTAACTCACAGCCAAGAAAAGGCCCTCCACTGCCCTGAGAGAACCATCAGGGCTCCTTACCTGGTACGGTGGATCATGTGTGATGGGATGGGCCCTAGGATTTTCTCCATCATCACCAAATGCTCTCGGTTTTCATGGGTCTAGAGAAGGCCAGGGACAGAGCAAGTAGGGGTCAGTCCCAGCCTCAGCCCCTTCAGGGAGTACAAAGAGTGAGAAGAGATGGGCAAGTAGCCTCCCTCCCTGCCCAGGAAATGCAAATCTACCAATGGAACCTCCCAACCTCTGATGTGGAGACAGCTCTGTAGGTGAACTTGTCCACTGGAGTGAGTCTCAGCATGCTGCACTAGGCCTCGACTACAGAACACTCTGGTTTTTCACTCTCCTCAGTTTGGGTGCCCAATACCGATCCATTCTCAAGCCTGCACTCATGCTGTGCCCCCTTGCCTACAATTCGCTTCTCCCACCCACCCTAGTCTTCTGTCCTAGCAGAAAGCTCTTTCCTGAGTGTTCCAACTGTGTGCCAATCTCTGCCTTTTCCTGAGCATCCACAATTCTGAACAGTCTGGATCTCACATGACTGGTGGGGGGGTAGAAGACACCTGTCCCCCTCAGCCACTCAGGGCTTCCCACCCCAGGGCCCTGCAGCACTCAGCTCAAATAGTATACCTGGAAGAGTGTGAAGCCCCGGTAGTACTCGAAGAGAATGCAACCGATGCTCCAAACATCACAGGGCTGTGCCCAGCCCAGCTCTGCAAGCCAAAATGAGGAAGAAGCTGTGAGACTTAGCCTAGAGGTCATGGGTTACTGCCACTCTGGCTGAAGGGACTCTTGTCCAAATGTACAAGGCCCACTCTAAGGCTATTCCTACAAGGCCAAGTCAACCTGTCTTGTGACACTGCCAACCCTGGTGGCAGATTGAGAGGCATGCCACCTCCTCTATGCCCACCCAGGGTTAACTGCCAGGTGTAACAAGGCTGACTCACCAAGAATCACCTCAGGCGGGCGATAGTGACGGGTGGCCACAATGGTTGTATGATGCTCATGGTCAAAGGTGGCACTGCCAAAGTCAGCCACTCGAATGCTGGTGTTCTTCACTGACTTTTCCTCACAGCTCTGAAGGACAAGGTAGGCCAGCCAGGTCAGTTTACCAGGTGGTAAACCAGCCCCAGCAGTGCCACACCCATGCCCCAACAAATGCTTTTACCTTGTGCTCATTGTAGAGGGTTTCAAACTCAGAATTCACAAACAGGATGTTCTCTGGCTTCAAGTCTGTGTGGGTCAGCTGGTTCTCATGTAGAACTAGAGAAGTAGGGGAAGAGGGAGAAGCAAACCCTGAGACCTTTGTCTTCCCCTCTGGCTCTCCCACCAGCTCTAGCCTAGACTCCTCCAAAGCCAGCAACTGCCAGAGCTGTGCATACGCATCCTCAGCAGAGAGCTGGACCTTATCTTATCTCCCCACTGGCATCCCTCTCAAGAGCTCTATCTGAGACTCTGAGGGTTTGCCTTTAGAAGGAGGACAGGGAAGGGCAGGTTTTCCATCCCCAAAACCTCCTTCCTCCTCTCCTTTGCAAAGACCAGGCCTCCTTTCCAGTCTTTCACCAAAGTCACAGCAAACAGCCTCAGGTGGCTTCCCCTCCCCAACACTCCCTGTGTAATTTGCAGGGTCTGTTGTGAAATGAAAACACAGGCCCCTTGCTCAAAACTGAAGTGTAACTGACCACAGGATCACTCACCCATGAAGCCAGCCCTAAGCAGGGATGCCTTTTGCCTTCAGCCCACCAACAGTGGCTTCACACTCAATCACGTCTGGCATATAAGACCCTCACAACTCTGTGACCCACCACTTCCCAATATAAGCCCTCTCTCCACTGGAGTGAGTCTCAGCATGCTGCACTAGGCCTCTGCTGAGCTGCTCCCCTTGTGCTTGATTGTCCCCCTTCCTGCTACCCATCCAGACCCCACACATCCTCGCTCTATATCTTATTGCTTTACGTAAGAGTCCTTTATGTTCTTCTGTAACTGTCACAAATCTGATGGTACTGAACACTTGCACCACCAAATATGTTCTTCAAAGCTGACAGGCAGATGGTTAGACAGAGGTAGRGGAGTCTATCAGGTCTAGTTTCTACCTTTTCTCCTATGCATGAACATGGGCGGCAGGATTGGCTCCTGGGCCAAATCTAAAGCAGCCCTTCCCTGTTTTCTTCCTGAGCACCTTCGGGCAGAGCCTAGCCCAAGAGGTCCCTGGAGGAGGGGGAGAGACTAGCCTTTCCACCCTAACACTAAGGTTCCTACGTAAAGATAGAAGGCCTTTCACTAGGGCCCCTGGGGGCCTCTTAGGCCCAACACAATGATTAGCAATGCTCTGGAGTGAATGGGGGCAGACAAGAATAACCAGGTGACTTTGCAGGAGTGTAGCCATCCCGTGCTCCATCTGAGGGTGGACACTTACATCTAAGGGCGTGGCAGAGCTGGTAGGCCATGTGTCGGACATGTGGTAAGGGGTAAGGCTGGAAATTATTCTCCTTCAGGAACTCAAAGGTGTTCTTGCCCAGGAGCTCAAAGGCGATGCACATGTGACCGTGGAAGTTGAACCAGTCAGACATCAAGACGCACAGGCTGGGGGAGAAGGATGGGTGGGGCTCAGGCTCTGTGCTGGGGGCTGCCTCACTGCTCCTCAGATGAAGACAGCCCCCACCCACTCCTAGGCCACTGGGTTGTACACCACAATGCAGATACATGTGAAGAGAGCAGAGCCAGAGCACATCTCCCCACTGGCCATCCATCACCCAGATGAACTCTGGGCAAGACTGAACTTCCTGCTGCACAGAGGGCCAGGGCTCTGGTCTGAGCTCATTCACTTACAGGATGAGAGAAGCCCTGCCTCAGTTGCTGAGGGTGAGGTGGAGTAGTGGCAGCCTACCATACCAAAGGACACCCCCTTGCTACTGAGCTTCCTGAGGGCCTGTGTGGACTTGGCCCTCTGTCCAAGCTTGGCTAGGCACCATACTAGGGCGGGGAGGACATATGTGCTCAGTGAGTGTCTATCTGCTAAAGGAAGGCTCTCCTCTGGAGGTCTCCTACTATGTGAGGTCCCCAGTTTTGCAACCAGCAAAGTCCCCAATTCACAAATGCAAGGCTGGAGCTTGCCTCAGAACACATAGCTGGCTGGTGTGAAGCCTGGACTAAAGTCCAACAGCTGCTTAGGTAAAACTCGCTCTGAAGTGTGCTGAGAAGGCACAGTGCCAAAGAGGTGACAAGACACAGTGAAACCCCAAGCAGTTGGGGCTGGAGCAAACTCTGTCCCCTGAAGCCTTCCCTCCCAAATACTGCAGATACTCACAACTTGTTCTCTTTGTCCTTCTCCTTGATTTTCTTGAGAACATTGATTTCTAGCCGGGCAGCCTCCCGGTACTTGCCCACGTTGCGGATGATCTTCAAGGCAACCTGAGACTTCCCTCTGGCACCCAGGAAGGAAACATAAGTTCTCATCAGTGGCTGCCCAGCCCCTCTTTCACCCTCCACCCTAACCTAGCAACTCCCAACAAATAGGCTCCATGAATAGCTTGCCTGAAGAGAATAGACACTTGAGGCCCAGCCTGCACGATGCATTACCAGATCTGTCACCTAAAAGCAAATTTGCCTAACATCTGAGTTAGATCTCTCAGGCTCCATGCTGATCTCAGGCTTTTAGAGCCCAGCCAGTGATATAAGCTGCAGGCCAGGCTGTCCCACTCAGAGCCCTCCCTACTATACCTCTTGACCTAAGCACATCTACAAGCCAAAGAGCCTCTGGGCAAGGGTTCCAGGAGGCCAGGGTACATACCTTCCCAGGCCCTCCTCCCTGCCTGCCTATCATCCACAGCATTTACCAACAACTGAAGAGTACCAGGAACTCTTATTAGGTGTCCAAGAAGGATCTAAACAATCCTTGCTCTGCCCACCTCAGTCTGCCATTTGCAGATGTGAACAGAGAAGAAAACCTACTGAGGCCCTGTCAAGGACAGCTAATGTTCAGATGCCCAGTGGTGACTTGGCAATGAATTGGCCCTGACCCACAAGGGTATATCTTCTGAGGCCTCCATCAATGTTCTTGGCTTCCTGGTGCCTAGGTACAGATAGGTCCACAGGCCCAAAGGCAAAGGCACCTTTTAGAGAATACCCTACTTTGTTCTCCCTAGACAATTTCCTCAGACCTTCAGGACCTCAGAACGAAGGCAACTACCCCAGCCTCCCAGCACAAGATCCTGCCATGGCACTTCAATCCTCAACAAAGGGAGTATAAGGCTTTTAGAGAAGCCCCCACCAGGCCTACTGGCTCTGAGGATGAGGCTTTCCTCTCATTGAGCTTCCACAAAATCACTTTGCCAGCCTTGCCTCCCTTTAAGATCCCCTGAAGGATCTGTGGGTCCTATGTCTTCTCCTTAACGACTTCAGAGGCTCATTTTCCCTCAGAGTGGCACAGCCCAGATAGCTTAGCTGCCCTTATGTGTCACAATTCTTGAATCTGTCCTATCCTTACACTCACTGATCCTCACCCTAACCTCTTGGGTCACACTGGATTCATGCATGTTTAAATGGGAACTGGGAGAAAAAGGAAGTTTCCTCTCGGTCATATCACTGCTTTACCTCATTGCCCATAGAAATGGCTGCTTCCTGGGTCTAACCGTCCTTTATAAGCAGTCCTCTTTTATTTTCAGTGCTAGAGATTTTATTTTATTTTTTTCAGTGCTGGACCTTGCACAAGCTAGTCAAGTGCTCATCACTAAGCTACACCCCAGCACTGAGCAGCCCTTTTTTTCGGGGCAGGGTGGGGTGGTGTACCAGGGATTGAACTCAGGGGCACTTGACCACTGAGCAACATCCCCAGCCTTATTTTGTATTTTATGTAGAGACAGGGTCTTACTGAATTGCTTAGTGCGTGCCTCATTGTTGCTGAGGCTGTCTCTGAATTCACGATCCTCCCGCCTCAGCCTCCCAAACTGCTGGGATTACAGGCATGTACCATTGTGCACAGCTGAGCAACCCTTTTAATGTGGAAGCACAGGGTTCCCAGATCTGCCTTAATAGCTGAGATATGAAACCCTGTGCAGCATTCTTTAAAAGAGTGACTGACATGGCTCATAGTTCAAATGAGGTACCAGCAGTTCATGGCTAAGGTTACTGTCAGAGACCTAGTAAGGCAGGGAGGCAACTGGTTTCCAGGGGGTAGCCTCCCCAACCCAGAGTTATACAGGAATCTAGTCCTCTAGTCTTGAGGAATGGTAGAAGACAAAGGTGTTACACTCTTAGGCCTGGGAGGGAGCAGAGCGTTCCCAGCAGCACAATATATATTAGTATACCCCCCACACACTCTCCTTGACACTCAGCAGGGACTCTATGAGACTCTAGCCACACTGGGAAAGGCAGTGACCTGCTTGGTAAAAGTCCAGAGTCTTATTTCTCTCAACCAGGATTTGCACAGCCTTCCAGGCAGACTAGGGTAGGCGGCTATCAATTCTGGGCTGGACTTAGCAATATTCCCAAACCCCTGCCAGGTCAAGAACCTGAATGAGCTCACAGGAAGCAGCTCCAGGCCTCAGAGGAGCCAGAACCTCAGCTCTGCTCTGATATCTACCATCATAGCCCTGAAGAACTGGGGCAAAGCCATTTATTGACCAGTTCTTGGGCAGGGACATCACATGCCTGCTGAACCTCAAGATTTCTCCCTTATTTCAGGAGGTCAGCACAACTCCAACATGTACAGATCAGAATCCCACCAAAGAGTTTTCTCAAAACTCTGAGAGCCTCAAGCTAACTCTTCCTAGGATGACATCTGGAGCCAGCTGTGCTGCCCCAGCTCACTCACCTGGCATGGTCCAAGCACTCCACCACCTTGCCAAAGGTGCCTTCACCTAGGTTCCCCACGATCTCATCTACAAGAGAAAAGAAGTAGGGCATGAGAGTCCGAAGGGCAGGAGGTCGGCGGCTCCTGCAAGTTCACAGCATTCAAATTTTCAAAAACAAAAGAGGTTTCTCTCTCACTGCTACTCTCTTAAAAACGGAAGTTGCTAGTGTCTGTGTCATTCAGGCAATTACTGTGGCCCCACTAAGGCGCCACGCGCACTAGAGGCCCCTCCAGGCAGGAGAGGTCTCGTCTAACAAGGGGGGTAGAAAGTAGAGAGGTAAAGTTTTACGAAAGGTGGCTGTACATCGCTCTTGGAGCCAATCGCCGATCCGGCACACCAGGTGGCCCTCCTTGTCATCTTCCACACTCCGGCTGCTGCGCTTACTGCTCTGTTGGCTTCTCTGCATGCACCGCCCCCCGAAACGCCATCCGACCAATCGCATGGTAGGCGGTTCCGATTGACAGATTGAAGTGTCAGTCAAAGGCAGAGGTGGAGACGGTGAGGAGCCGGTGGGTTGGTTGGTTGGATTTTCCAGATCCCAGCATTTCATAAGGCACACAGCATATATAACGATAGGGATATTGCAAGGGACACGTCAAGACACAAACTGACTTCAAAAACAGAAAAGTAAAAACAGCTACAGGTATGTAAAGAAACTCCGATATTATCTATAAGAGGAGCGCCACAAACGCTCAGAAAGATGTACAGCCTCTGCCGCCAAGGGGCCGGGCCCTAAGGACAGCCTCAGCCCTGACTCCCTCTTCTTCAGTCTTCCCCCTCCCTGGCCCTCCCATGGTGCCTTTAGTCAGAGCTAAAGACACAGTGAGAAACAGCACAAGAAGGCAGCTGGCCCAGCCTGGGTCTGACCAACTGGACTGGTCGGAGGGCTACCCTGGCTTCAGCTGCAGAATGTCCAGCCTGTCCTTGCCTGCCTCCTTCACCCACACAGCCTTCTTTGCACATGCCTGACAGCTGCCACACAGAGCCAAGCTGCTACCTGCCCCCAGACGGCACCCTTGGCCAGAAGTAACCACACTACCAGAGACAGCCTTCCATTAGCAGTCCTCCTGCCACCAGTCTCAAGCAGGAAAGGAACCTGGGATCTTCTGGGATGGCTGACCTCCAGTCCTCCTACAACAATTGGCCTACACAGGCCCCAAGTCAGCTCCTGCCCTGGCCTTGGCACCTGTGCTGCTCACAGGCCAGGCCCATCCCAAGCCTTACAACCACAGAGGGCACCAAAAGAGAAGAAGCAGAGCCACAGACTTGCACTGCCATTCTGTGGCAGCATGTGGCACTGTACAGAGGCCACATGGCCACGACGGATTTGCACGCACAGAGTCAACCATCAACCCATGGCCGCTCAAAGAAGTCACAGAGAGAGCTGGGCAGAGAAGATGCCTAGCCCCTCCACTGATCCTCAGGAGCCTTATGGACGGCAGAAGGGAGGCAGGGAAGAGGGATGTGGAGAAGAGAAAACAGCACATAACCTCAGAACACACACTGGCTTTCTTCCCAGGGGACTGAGTGCAGTATGGGCTCCTGGTCTCAGCCGAGATCTGTACCACCCTCCACATCAGAACACTGGCCAGCCCTGTTCTTAGTATTTGGCCTGCAACAGGGTGAGGCCTTGAGCTGCCTGGGCTGTGGACCTCTTTGCCATTTCTTCCAAAGTCCCATCATACAGACAGCTGTCCCTCCTGTGACTGTTCCTCCTGCAAAGAAGTGAGGCTGAAGAGGGCCTGGCTGAAGTCAAAAGGGAAGCTCCCAATCTGAGCTGTCTGACCATATATGGTGACGCACACCTGTAGTCACAGCTGAGGCGGGAGGATGGCTTGAGCTCAGGAGTTCAAAGACCAGCCTAGGCAACACAGTAATTACCATACCAAAAAAAAAAAAAAAGGTGGATGGGTGGGATGGAGATGTAGTTCAGTGGTAGAGCACTTGTACAGCGTGTGTGAGGCCCTGGGTTCAAGTCCCAGTAGCACCATAAGAAAGAAAAAAGTCAGAGCTGATTGACATCCTCTCCCATGGGGGCACTGTGGCCTCAGGGCCTCTGGGGAGGAGTGTGGAAATGAGACTGCAGAGGTGGGTGCAGTCCACATGTCAGAGCACTCAGCTACATTGAGGGTGATCTCTGGTAGGAAGGACCAAGTCATGTAGCCCAAGGTCACATACTGACAACCTACTGGGATTCCTGAGAAGTGTCCCTGGCCACTTGCACCATGTGGCCTAGGTCTGGAGTAGTGTGTAGACACAGACAGGCTGGGACCAGCCAGAGCTGGAGCCAAAGCCCTATAGCTGCCCCTGGCAATGGGCCAGAAGACAGAGGGCCAAGGTCCCTGCTCAGCCCTGCACCTGGACCAGACAACACATACACACACACATGCACGCACAGCAGCGCGCAGGGCTGGCAGTACTCACCCAGACCAGCCAGCCTGAGAGAGGTTAAAAAGAGATGAGGCCTTTGGCCCCAGCCAGCACACTCTGGCCACCACTCACCGAGGAGGCGCTGCTACAAGACCTGGTGCGGCGTTTGTGGCAGTGATGGGCATGCTTTCGGGTCCGGTATGGCCCCCTGTCCCGTGACCGCCGACGATGGCGAGAACGTGAAGATCCATAGCAGTCCTCCCCAAAGGATGGGCTCCGCTCTTCACACCGGTATGTATCGCTGTCTCGGCGCTCCCGGTATCTCCTCTGGTAGGGCAGGCGGTCGTGGCTGACAAGAGGGGGATGGGGATACCAGTCAAGTGTGGCGCTTGCTCCCACTAGCCAGTCCCTGTTAGCAGGTAAGAGGCCTGTGGGTCCCTAAAAAGAGCTTTCAGGGAAAGCTTGTTGGAGAGGCATAGGACTGAAGGGAAGTGAGCAGGGGAAGGTGTGAAAATACCAAGCTCACCCCCCCAGAACCATGGATAATGTCAGCATCCCTCCAGTGCCACAGAAGGCAGAGGACAGGGGAAGGTGAACATGTGGAGGGAAACAACTCTCTGAAGTTACCTATAGCTTGCTATGACTATAATTTTGGTCTGGGGCCTGAGACAGGACCAGGGACCAATCTTTCCTAGACTGAGACTATGTTCCTAATTCCCAATAAGGAAGGCTCAGGAGGTTGGCAGGGGAGACACTGGCTTAGAAAATGAAGAATGTATACGGAGAAGAGATAGAGACACTCCAGAACAAAGAAAGGGTGGCAAGGAAGGCTGCTACTTAAGGCCAGAAAATGCCGGTTGAGATTAGACAAGGAGCCCAGAGGGGTTAGGGCAGGGATGGGGGAAGGAGAGCTGGGCAGAAGTAGAGTCATTCCAGAGAGACTGGGGCTGCCAAAGCCTCCAGACAATCTTCCTTGCCCAGCTAAAAGGAGTCTCTCTTTCCTACCCAGCTCCCACTCACCTTCTGGATCGAGATCTTCGGGGTGGAGGTTCCCTTCGGGCTGGGTAACGTAGTCTCCCTTCATGTTCCCGACTGTAAGACCGTCTCCTCTTCCAGCGGTAGCTGAGGTACGGGTCTGGCTCAGGGGAGCGGTATCGCTTACAGTGATGCATCTAGGCAGTGAGAAAGAGCCCTGCTCAACACACAGCCTGCTGCCTCCAGCCACAGGGTGGCGTGGGGCACACCAGATGCTCCTGAAGAAGAGGCCCATTGTTATGTTTGGGGGCAGCCCCTCCCAGGGGTTTATGAAGTGAAGAAGAACTCTGAGGTCACACTGGCCAAACAGCAGACAATGGGTAACTCCCTTCTCTGCCAATGAACAAATAAACAGCTGCCTCCCTGGCATGGCCTGAGGCCCAAGCACTCAGGGAACTGGGTGGGCCAAGGTGGGAATACAGGGTAAAGATGGTGAGCACTATCACAGGGATGCCAAGGTAGGGGGAGAAAAGGGAGACTCCTGTACTCAATTCCCTTCTGCCTGTGGGGTTCTATGACTTGAATGCTCTGGAAAGCCTGAGACCAAAGGGCAGCTGTCATGGAGCCAACACACAGAGCAAAGAGCCAAAGCCTGGTTTGAGAGGCTCAAAGTTACCTGGCTGTGGCCCTAAACTGGACTCATTCAAGGCAGTAAAACAAGTCAGCACCAGGAGCCACAGCAGAAATGAGAAAACAAGCCCTTGGAAAAAGAGGCACACAGTGGCTCACCGGCACTCCCTAGCTTATACAAGGGTCTAGCCAAGTGGACATGGACATGGACCTGTTCAACCCTTTTTGGCCCACACTAGGTCTCAGCACCAGCAGGATGTCAGGATCCCAGAGTGCCTAAGTTGCTTGCCTGGGGTGCCTTATGTTTCCCTAACAATACAGGTACCATCCCCTCTTCTATCTCACCTGCTCCATCAACCTCTTCCATGCCCATCTCAGGAGTAAAGGACTAGCTGGCTGGCAAGCCTGTCTATACAGATAGGCAGGGCCCCACCTCAATATTCCTGTCCAGTGGCAACTTATATCCACCACAGGAAACTATCAAGCTGGATCAGCCATCAGCTGAGAAAGGTGGATATGTGAGGCCAGCTCCCTGTTCCACCTGCATCCCAGCTTCTGATGTTACTTCCACAGGACGGCTAGGCAAGAAATTTGGACAGCCTCTTTCCAAGCATCTACTTGGCCATGGCCAGTCTCCCATCCTGGGCAGTCCTGGGCTTGCCCAACCAAGCACATTTTGGACAAATCCACCAAGGCTACCATATCTCTCCAGTGCAGTCTATCAGGATGAAACAGTTCCTTGAGGATAAGCAGGATGATGTGGCATACCTGCCACTGCCCCTGGAAGCTTTTCCATGGTCCTAAGAAAGGCAATGCCCTCAATCTCCCCAGTAGCAACACCCCCTTCAACACACCTGAAAGCCTGATCCCCAGCAATCCTTGGAGATAAACACTATGTAAACTCAGTGACAGAGCTTATATTTGTTGTTCTGATGATGATCTGACTAATGTCTCACTGTTTTTCTGCAATTACCTGGGTCAGGTGCCCAAGCCATGGACTGAAAGCCTTATTTCACTCCACTAATTAACCCAGAAGACGCTCCGCTGGTCAGGGCACACTCCTTCCCACAAGGCAAGTGTCATCCTGTTCAACCTCACTGAGCAGACAAAGCACCAAATCTGGATGTGGATATGGTCTAATCCACATCCCTTCATCCCAGGACTTAAAGGTTTCTTATGTCCACACATGTTTACATGAATGGAAAGTCGTAGACTGGGAGTCAGGTGTCAGTCTGAATTGTGACAATGCCACTGCCAGCTGTTTGCCTTTGGGTAAGTTGTTAAAACTACCTCATCTTTATCTTCCTCTTACAACAAAGAAACAGTAATCTCTTAATTAAATAAGTCTTTCTTATAAATCAAATACCTTGGGCCCACAAGAGGTACTAAAGGCACTTTTCATTAACACTAAAAAGGTTCCATATAACCCTTCAGTGCTATTAAGTGTCTTAAGGACATTTTATAAGCCTCTTCTTCAAGGGATCTGAGAGAAGAGACCTCTGGCAGAAAACCCTGACTAAATCCCAGTGCTGCCACTTACTTACTAGCCTTGTGACCTTAGACAAGTCACTTTAGGCCTTGGAAAATAAAGATAACACACTTTTATGCCTGGAAAATAAGACAACACCTACCAGCCTGGCAAAGGAATTGCAAGTATGAGAGCCATAAAGTACCACACACAAAGCAATAATAGAGAAGACAATCTCTCCTATAACTTTCGAGGCAGGTGAAATACAGAAACACCAGGTGCTTCTCCTCATCCTCTCAGCCAGGGCTTTGGCAGATCCCTTTTCTCACCAACTGTCACTGATTGTCTGAGATCTCAGCAAGCAGGTAGTTTCAAGAAGCTAAGGGACACAACTGTGCATCGGGAGGCTCTACACATGAAAAAGCAATGAGAAGGAAACCAAGACAAGGATGCCAGCTTTTCTCTGAGCACAGGCCTAGTCGGCTTCTCCTTTGCTTTTCCTGGCCAAAGAACTGGGCTGACAAGAACAGCCAGCCAGGTCAGCGGCTGCCCTCCCGGATTCAAGCCACCCCAGTGCCCCATGGTTATTTTTGGCTGGCACTGCCCCACCACTGCAACCTCAAACCTGCCACCTCGGAAGCCGCGGCCGCCGCCACCGGGTGAAACGCTCCTCCTTTTCAAGGGCACGGAGGAGGGAAGCTGGAAGGCCGCCAACTCCGCCTTGACGGGGGCCTGGCTCAAGCAATTCCCACCCCGGCTCCACATCAGGGCACCCGCACCCGGAACTGGAGCATAGACTCCCGGCCGGACCGAGGAGTAGCCTGGGCATTTGTACAGTCAAGTTGGCCTGGCCTGCTTCCTGGGCTGAAGCGGCTCCATCATAACAACAAAACACGATGGGACCCGAGGCCCTCGATCACATCCCTTCCTTCGCCCGGTCCCCGGTAACCGCCACTAGTGGTACGGAAGGAAGACCCGGCGGGCTGAGGTGGCCAGCCTGGGCTAGAATCAAACTCCAGGCGGCGCGGGGAAGAAGAGCCTGCGGACTAAGCCTCGAGTCGGGAGTAGGGAAGCGGTCCCGAAGCCCTTTCAGGCTATCCTAGGTCGGACCCCGAACTCTTCCGGCGGGCAGACGTAGGGCAGAAACCGGATCCTCGCAGGGGCCTCAGAGGCCGCTTGGGCTCCGCCTCCAACACCGCGGGATCCAGAAGTTGGGGTCTGCAGTGGCCGCCCTCCGGGAGAGAAGCGGCGGGTCAGGGGTGAGAGGTCGGGGCCGCGGCCTGAGGCGAGCCGATGAGGAGAAAGAATCGGTGTAGGCCGAGACTGAACCGAGAGCACGGGTACCCGCACCAGCCTGCCCGCCCAGCCGACGCACCCCAGCCGCCGCCGCCGCCGCCGCCGCCGCGGGCCCCGGCCCACACTCACCGTCTCCCAGGCTCGGGCTGCGGCTAGGCCCCACTGCCCGCTCCAAGCGCCTCTTCCGCTTCCGGCTCCGGCCTCCGCCCGTGGCGGCCCCGCCCCCCCAATCCCGCGTGACGCAGCCGTAGTCGTCCCGGGCTCGACCTGGCCCAGAGGCCTGGCCGCTCTAGCACTCAACTCGGAGGCTCTGGGGGACCAGCTTCCTCTGCTCCGGCCGGTGCCGCAGCAGTGAAGACTAGTTCCGGGAGGGCCGAAGGGACGTTCCGGGCAGCGGCCCGGCTCCCCACGCCGTGTCTCCACGCACGTATCCCTAAAAGCCGGATAGGTGCGCGTCCCCGGCTGACAGGGCGCTTGGAGCCAAAAGGTGGAGCCTGGTCGACTACCAGGCTCTGCCCTCTCCGCTGTCGCTGCCCCGCCGTGTCCGCCTGCGCGCGGAGAGGACTGGCATTGTTTCCCTGAGACCCGGAGAGCACACGACAGAGGCCCTTGCGTCGGGGCTCCGAGAAGTGGGACGCGACTCCACTTAAGTGAAAGAATCAAACCACATATTATTCTCTCGGTTCGTGCGGGTTTTTTGAAAGCCGTGGTGGCACGCCCAAGATCGCTAGTGCTTGCAGAGCAGATTCTGGGAGGACACCCATGAGCGAGCCAAGACGGCGGGGTCCCTTGGCAGGGCAGTGGTCTGGGGAAGAGGACGTCCCCCTTTTATTTGAACTCCATTGGGGCGTCTTACTGCCATGAGCACTGATTCTTACTTAAACCCCCGCCGAACCCAAGCCCCATGCCCTGCCGCTTCTTCAACGAGTAATTCGAAGACCCCCTTTGACAGTGGCCTTGAGTGTGGGGCCAACTAAACCCCGTCCACCTGCTGGCCCGCGCTGGATCAGGGCCAAGGGGAGTACTAGGCACATTCCCAGAGGCGAAAACAGGTTGGGGTCCTTTGGGAAACCTCACTTTGTGAGCGTGCGCGCCCCGCCCGCTCCCGCAGTGGCGTTCCCGCCCCCGGCGTCTCTCAACCAAACGGGCGGGCGGAGCGCCTAATTGCCCCACGCTACGCGAGGGCCCGGGGCGCCGGAGCTGCAGGCTCGGAGTGGAGGGTCCCGGTGTAGTGTACCTCCAAGCCCCGCCCCTCCTCGGGCCCGCTCCACGGGGACAGCTGGGGTTTCCCCAGCACCGCCAGGGCGCGGGTCCGCCGGTTCCCTTTCCACGGAGGACTGGGGATGAGCGGCCCTGCAGGCTCTGTGGCAGTATACCCATCCTCCAGAGCCGCAGTCGCGGCTTCTTACTCTTCCCGAAGTTGGGGTTTGGAGGATTATTACTTGAGTGATAACCCCTTGGGTAAAAACCTCCGCCATGCTGCACCACGCCCACCTGAAGTAAACAACAGAAATTAAAAGCTTAGTTCAGCATCAAGACCGACCCCCGAGTACCCTTTCAATCAAATGCACCCAACCACCGCCACTCCCGACCCTCACAATATAGACATTTAGGAGCCACTTAAGTGTGTACTTCGGTAACCCAGAGCCCAACTGTGCCGGCCTCTAGATCCCGCCCCTCAGGGATCTAGAGGCCTGGGCCACAACAGCAGGATTGCTTCCCATCAGAAGAGGCGGGAAGACTCTTCCCACACCGCTCAGTGTTGCTTGCAGTTTCCATGACTGCAGGACACCAAACCATATCTGCATCTGAGCATAGGACAGAAGTCTTCAGAGAGGATTCTGTCCCTCACCCTGCCCCAGGCGCCAGGCTCTGATGGGGTGAGTTAGGCAGTCTTCTCACCAGCCCTCCTACCTTGTGAAATCTAGGAGTCCTTGCCTCCCAGCAACAAAGAAGCACTCTTTCCCTGAGGTGGGACAGGAGTCATCTCGTAGCCCCATTCCACCCTGGAACATTGCAGTCTGGAAGTCTTCCTGCTTGAGAGTTTACCAGTAGGGTTTCATTCCTTGTTTAATTTCTTCCTAAAAGAACTCACACCTTTCAGAGCGACAACCCCATGTGAATTTTTGGTAACTACTCCAGTCCTACTCCTCCACCCCACCATCCCTCCAGTGCTCCTTGCTGAGAGGGGAGCTCCAGGTTGGGGCCACCCCCAGAGGAAGCTGCTCCACAACTCTTGCCCCTCCAACCCATGCTTTCTCCAGTCTCCACCCCTGTGGTCATCAAGTCTTTTCTGTGTGGTTGAAGTCTGCAGCGGGATCCAAGGCACCAGAGAGATGCTCCTGCCCTGTTTTCATGCAAATCCCACAGCTCCTCTTGCACCTCTTGGTCTCCTTTTATCCCCAGGTTCCTGGACTCTGAACCCTAGTCCTGCTGTACTGGTGCTCTTCTTGTCTGCCACATTCATCTCTGCCTTCCCTGAGCACAGCTGATTCTCCTTTGAGTCTCAGCCCCAGGGTCACTCCCTGGAAAGCCCTCCTGGAATCCTGAAAAGGAAGTCAGGCTCCTCCCTGTTCTCTTACAGCATGGGGTGCCACCCTGCCTTGGCTCAACATGCCCCCAAAATATGGCCAATACCCACCCCCCAGTTCTTCCCACTGTGAGCCCCTCTGAAACTAAGTGAAGCTCAGCTCAGATTGAGTCAGGGCACAGGCTGCCATGGAAAGCTCCTCACTGCTACCTGGGAAGGAATACCTAGGTAGGATGGAGTTGTGGATGCTGTGCCAGGGTATGGGAGGTGAGACCAGGTGCCAGCCTTCATTGAGGTCTTGGGAGGTGGTGACACATAGGGAGACAACTGGATCAAGAGGGGCTGCAGGAATCTGGGCCCCAAGTGGGAATGGGAGGTGTGGCAAGTCTGGGGTTGTTGCAGGGATGGCAGAGGTGACCAGGGTCCCCCCTGCTCAGATGGAGACACACTTCCTTTGGCCCTTGCAGAGCTGGAGCAGAATGCCTGGTGCCTGGGAGTGGGAGGGCAGTGGCAGGATTGGGCCCAGACCCTGAAGGTGAAGAAGGTGGTGGTGAGGAGTAGGGGGTGGCAAAGCCAGCCAATTGGTCTTGTCTACCCCATGAGTTCCCTCACCAAGTGATGAGCATGGGGATGAGGCCCCCTGAAGCTATGGAAGCGAGAAAGGTGCCAGAGTAGTGACCTGATGTGAAGGCTTCTGATCCCCTTGGAGCAAGCCCAGGTGCTGAGAGGCAGGAATGCAGGCTGGGACTCAGCTAGGCTCAGTGTGAGCTGCTTTCTGAAGCAGAAAGTGAGGTTCCCAAGCACTTCCCCATGTCTTTTTTGCCTTTCTGCAGCCCCAAGGAGATCTAAACTAACGAGTTCTCCTTGCCAGGCCAAAATCTCTAAAGCTAAATTGTAGAGGCCCCAAAATGTTTCCCTAATGGCTGCCATTTCCAGACTCCCATGCTGGGAGGAGGAGCACTGTGGAGCAGCAGGGGCGGGAGAAGGTAGATTCTGATGCCAGGATGCTGCATTGGTGGGAATTCCAGGTCCCCTGGACTCCCACATGATCTGGGCCATTTGACCTCCCCTCAGAGCTTCCCTTTCCCCCACAAACACACACTGGCTGCCCATGCAGATTAAACAAGATCATGTTTATTGACCATATGGCTGCCTGTAGTGAGCACCACAACTCACAGAAACTTGGATTTGAGAACTGGTTAGTGAATTTGAGGCTAGTGTTTATTCAAAGTCCAAATCAACAGAGGGACTCTGGGGCCAGGGGTCAGGATTAAGCCCTGYTTGCAGAGCTCACTGTGACAGAGCCCATAGATCTGATGCTTAGCCCTGTCACATGTCTTCAGCTGACACCTCTGGCCACTAGACTATGTCCATCCACCGAACCCCACTGAAGGGTGCAGGTGCATATGGAGAATTAGTCACGGCACCCCACCACGGCAGGGCCTATTCTGAAGCCTGGTTCCTCTCTCGGTGGCAGGTGCTCAGAAAGAGCTCCAGAGTGGGACTGGATATGGATAAAGAGGGAGCTGCAAGTGCAGCCTGCAGAGAGCAGGTGGCAGTGGGCTTAGCTGGTCAGCCACTTTCAGACAGCACTGGAATCCCTTGGAGCAAGTCCAGGTGCTGCAGAGGCAGGAATGCAGGCTGGGACTCAGCCAGGCTCAGTGTGAGCTGCTGTTCTGAAGCAGAAAGTGAGATTCCCATGCTCTCCCCCATGTCCTTTTTGCCTTTCTTCAGCCCCAAGGAGATCTGAACTAACAAATTCTCTTTACCAGGCCAAAATCTCTGGAATGCTCAGGGCTGGTGCCCACATCTGGTATCATATTCTCAAGAGAAGGTTTGCCAGGGCCTGGGGCATCTGAAGGAGAAAGAGGAGAATGGAGTCACCAACAGGGATGTTGAGCAGAGTCATCTCTGGGTAGCACTCCTGGAGGTGTGCGGTGTGTCGGAGAGGCATGTGCTGGGCGTGGCTGGGTACCAGCTGGAAGCAGAAGAAGGGCCAGAGTCCCTGTGCTCAGTGATAGGAGAGCTTCCTTAGAAGTTCAGTCTCCTGATGAAAGTGGCAGTTCCCAGAGAAGGACAGGGAGATGTGCAAGATGAGGCTTCTTGGGGAGGTCATCCCTGCGCTGTGTGAGGGTACAGCCCAGGCTAGATACTCAAGACTTTAGTGACCCAGTTTCTCAGCCAATAGCTAACCTCCTGGATCCACTGCTTCCTAAAGGCCTGGATGACCCTCAGGACCCAGTTGACAACCCATCCTCTTGTGCCTTCCTGCTCTCTAGCATTCTGCAACTGCTTCCCCAGTTCTCTTACTGCTTTAAGCTCTGAAGTCATCAGCAGCTGGGGAGGAAAGGTAGTATGTCTCAGGCCAGCACATCTGGAGCCTGTAGTAATAGATAAGAGCTGAGTAGGTCCCCAGAGCCTTGGGCCACAAGTTCCTTGTATTTAAGCCAGTGTTCAGACTCATTCTGGCTGGCAGCAGGGCCCTTGGTTGGAGTCTGTCTGCTTTATCAGAGGCTGCAGACTCTACCCTGCCTGGTGGGGATAGGGAGGCTGGACCAGCCCTCCCCAGGGGCTCCATGCTGCCTTTAGCATCCCCCCACCCAGAAGGTGGAATTCTTCCTGGGCCACCTGGAGCAGAAGAGGCACCAGCTGTGGGGATCCCAAGGACAGGAGGAGTGGAAAAAGCCAGACCAGGTCATAGAAGACAAGTGAGGGATGGAGAGTCATGTGGGCAGGAATTGAGTGTCAGAAGAAAGGCAGACATGCCCTTCTGACCCCAGGATCTTACTACTGTAGACAGAGGTGGAAAAGGCTCAGCCGAATTTGGACCATATGTGCTCCTTGTTGCAGAGCCCAGCCTAGGGACCTCTGGGGTCGAGATAATAGCAGAGCCTCTCCAAGTGGGTGTATGGAACACTTGCCCTACTGTACTTTCAACCCTGCCCTATACTTTACTCTCTGATCTTCATTCTGGGAGCAGTAGGTGGAGAAGGAGGGCAATGTGAGGGCTTCTGTCCAGCCTGTCAGGGATCCCCCCAGCACTTGAGAAGACCCCGAGACCATCTGGCTAGATGGAGAATCTGAGACCAGCGGGTAGGGAAGAGCTTGTTTGGGGCCATAACTTGAATTGGAGTGAGGCCCCTGCCACAATATGTCTCTTGGAGGCACCAGGGGTCTACCAAGACCACCTAGTGTGTTGAGGCTGGGAGGAGGTACCAGAATCCTATACTGTTTACTGGAGTCACTGGGGCCAGGCCTGCAGATCCAGGAGCAGAGC